AGATGTTTTATTTATTTGTTTTTAAGTAGAGTGCATAGCTGAGCAGGTTGCAGTGAAATGTACAAAGAACCACACTGAAAAATGAGAAGAGGACTTACTGACGTGCTCCTCTGTGATGGAAATCGTGGGTAAATTCTTTATCCTCTCTCTGTCTGCAGGAGGGGGACCCGTGTTTTCAAACTGGTTTAATAACTACAAATGAAAAACAGACAGGCTCACAATGACCAGCTGTGACCAAATCAGAATGACAACAAGGCCGATCAAATCAAAGGAAACTTCTCTTCATATTTCTATATGCCTGATCACCGGTGCTTCATTAGGCAGTTGCAAACGTGCATTCTTTGACTCTAGACACAAAAAAAAGAAAAATTTAAAGAAAAATCTTAATTTGGACCTTCTCCTTTTTTTTCGACTCCACTCCCACTGTCACTGCTATTTTTAGAGTGAACCTTGAAATTCCTGTTCTGACCAGACCCTCGTGTTGAGGATCATTAATATTGATGGGAACCGGGTCAATGAAAGCTATGACCCAGGGACCAAACCACAAGTTTCAGTGAATGAGTCCACAGTGTCCAAGCCTGAAGGCAGCATATCAGGTCAGGAACGTGACCTGGACGTGAAAGTTGCAGGAAGGTTAGAAGTGATGCTGGGCTGCAGAAGATGCTTCTTTAGACTGAAGGTTTTATACAATTCCAGGGGGATACTGCTTGTGACCCTAACTTCAGGCCTGCATTGTGCTTTGCCATTTCCTTAAGCTACAACACTGGTGTAATTTCTACCATTTCTGTGTTTGTTGTGGTGGCTCTTTTATTTTGCCTCCATGCGCCTCTGTGTTCTTATCCTGTCCTCTGTCACATTAAACACCATGAATTAAAAACCAAGCTGCACATTTCACTAAATTATGTTCAAGTCACAGATACATTCTGAGCCAGTTAGCCTAGAGCTTTGTCTTTGGACTTCACCTTAATAACATTACAATAATGTCTGTTTTGGACTTCTGCAAAGACATTTAGGGGCATGCTGGTGTGTTACGTGTTAACCATGCGGTTATGTCCTGATGTTTCATATCCAGTGCCAGCCGATAGAAAAAAAAAATGCTGGGAGTTTTTTTTCCCTCCTAGGTCCTCGTTCTTCGTTGTAGTCAGCCCCCCCTCCCATCTCCCACAGAGTAATTTTTGTTTGTTCAAAAAAATCAGCCGATGCAGATTTACATTTTAGCTAGTGATCCAAATTTGAAAGCCTTCAAGGTCAAATCTCTGAAGCCTCTCTGTGTACGTTAGTGAGACTTCCTGAAACACCAGAGGGAGGTTCCAAATGTTGTGCTCAACACTTTTAGATTGTTTCAGTGTATTTTTAAGTGCTAAACTTGCTAAAATAACCCCACTCTGAAATCCAGGGCCCAGGTCTTGTATTCACTAGATCACAGTATTCCTGCAACTCTGTTGAATAGATTTGTTGGACTCGAAAGCCAAGTATAAAATTCTGTTTCAGTTTATCTCTATTTTCATGTGAAAGAAAAACATTGTACATACCTGCGTAATGATAGCATCGAGCCCATTGGCACCCCAGGCATAGTCCATTGGATTGGAATGTAGCATACCCCTGCAAATTAAGAAGGATGTTAAAGTAAAAAGTCTCCTGAAATAAGTAAGCAATGTGTCTATCATACATTCTTAAACTTACCAAGGTCCCATCCCAATATTTGGCATGGCTGTAGGTGCTATAATTCCATTTACTAGCTGCTGGATAATTCTAGTCAGGAAAAAAGAAACATCACAAAAACAAACTACTTACAACAAGCAACAGGGTTCAAACTGAGAAACAGTGGGATTAATACTGTTACCATAACATGTGACATATAATATTTGCACATAACACAGTAACAAGCCAAGCTGTTTCCCCTGTCACTTCTTCTCAGTTACGCTCTACTGCTGAAAATGTCTCACCCCTCTAATGTGGGCACTCCTTCGTGTCGCGTACCCTGTCGCCGAGGAACATGCCGACCCCGTGGTTGCCGTGCACCGTATCTTTGCCGCGATGCCATTTCCCGCTCTCTCCTGTTTTCCGTCTCTCGGTTGTCCTCTGTGGGTAGCCGCAACCGAAGGTCAAAGTTTTCATCAAAAATCCCAAGGGCGAACGGACCATAACCCGGGGGAAATGTGAATAAGTGCTGGTGATCCATGTTCTAGTGGTAGAGACAGAGACAATGTCAAAATATAGTGTAGGGCATAGGTGTCAAACTCTGGCCCGTGGGCCAAATTTGGCCCGCGAAGCCATACCAAATTACTATTAGAGCTGGCCTACTGGTATTATACAGCTAATATATATATATTGTTTAGTATTAAGCTTTGCTTGTTCCATATTCAGTTTTCCAGCAAAACTTATTTGAATCCATAAGAAAAGATTCATTTTTATATCTGGAGGAAGATTTTTTTTTTCAATAAATATTAATGTTAGCCCGCCACTTTGTTCCAGTTTTGAATTTTGGCCCACTGTGTATTTGAGTTTGACACCCCTGGTGTAAGGTGTTAAAAAAAAAAATTTCAGAACCAGCTGATTTATCACGTCACACTTACCTCCAAGACTGGGCGGAACTGATCACTGGAAGAGGAAGTAGAGGCAGACCCATTTTCAGCACTGCATAAACAGAAAGTGAAACGTTAAGAGGTAGAAATGTACTGAAATATTAAACTAAGTAGCGATACACCGATTTATCATCAGAGCATCAGTACACAAGTCCCTTCTGCCTATGGTCAAGATTTACTGGTGGCTCATATTTTGCACTGATGTTCTGATTCATTCACTAAATGTTCAAAGAGAGTGTGATGAAGAGCTAAACTTTGTTTCAGTGGACTTCTTCAGATTGATCCTCCTTACCTTCTTTCTTCAGGCAGTTCCTCAATAAAACCAGATTCACAGCGTGGACACGTGTAGTCCTACAATGAAAATGTAAATTTGAATCCCTGACACAAACACAGTTGTCTCTTTATTAGGTCGAACGCCAACATTATATACTTCTGCAACCCATATATATAATTTTATTTTTTTAATTGTCTTTAGGAGCGTTTATGGAGTGCAACTTTATTGAGCAGGGCTTCAGAAGTTTCCTACATTTAAAGGGCACTGTGTCACACAGCTGAGCAGCAGACTGACTAAAGAGAAACTGTTACTGCAACATTCAAGAAGCTTCATGTGAAAGGCTTTGACAACAGTGCTGGGAGGTTGGTTGATGCCACAACAGCAGAGCCGACAGAGAGTGACTTTGTAATGATTTAACAACTACAATCAGCCAACAACAGTCTTTACTGGAAAGCATTCCCCGCTAAGCGGTGTCTCCTGAGTAAAAAAAAGAACAAGTCCCCTAAATCGAAAGTGAGCCCGCGGTCTTCCGTTAGCTTGCCCGTTAATGTCAAAAGGCTACCGCGGCTGAACTTGTCTAGCCCTTAACGTCAGCTCTACCTGGTTGTCATTTAGTGACGTTCGATATAATAAGGGTAAAACACGACATCTCAACCCAAGCGTATCCGCCAGCCTGATTAGTGACACCTGACTACCACCCCGTCCTTTACTACAGCGCTAGCCGAACTAGCGCAGCTAAACAGCAGCAAATGAGTCGAGAGACTCTTTGAGTGCCAAACCCACATAAAAAAAGACAAGGTCGGATATTACTCATCATCCTTCACGCGGACAAAAGGTGTCTCTACGGCCCTTACCGGTAAACGCGGACTAATCTCTGCTGAACACCGGTGACAAAAAAACCGGCAGGGCCGTGGGGGAGCTTCAGCCATTTCTGAGCAGGAGAGCAGTTCGCACAGTACGGACGGGTAGCAGCAAGGGACAACAGCAACGGCTCTTGCAACAGGAAACGGAAACTAACGCGCACCTGACACGACAGGCAGGAAATGACTTCCGGTGTATTTACCTCCAAATTATAATTTCTTCTATCTTACCATAAAACGAACTAAACGAATATATAATATAGAAGCAAGTCTTTAGTTTTATTTTTTGTCAGTTTTGTCAAATTTGAGGAGGCCCTATTGGTGCATTTTTGACCTACATTGGTATGGCTATAAGACAAAGTGTTTTGTCTATCTGTATATTGTACTACCTTTTCAGAACGTTTTAAACCTGATCATTTTTATAATAATACGAGGAAGAAGGCAAAGAAGAAAGAGAACTAACCCATTTTAAACAATAAAAATGAACCTGAAAAGAAGCTGAATGATAACAATTAATAAATGATTAAAGTATTGGACTATAATTACTGTATTTTTATTCTTCTTTCGACTACTGCCTACTCCTCTGTCACACGAATCCTCGGCATGACCTCCTTCACTGCATCCATCTTCTTGCTGCCTGATAGCTCAATAGTCAGAGCTTGTGGTAACAATATATTCACTAGCCCTCCTCTTTACAAGTCCAAACAATTTCAATAGGGCAGGAAGATGTGAAGAAAAAAAATCTTACTACAGGTTGTTTTGTTGTTGCTGTTGTTTGTTTATTTCTTTGTTTTCCTTTAGGGGTTTGAAGATGAAGGATAATTATATACCTTGTTTAAGATTCGGAATTTAAGAAAGCATGGTTTTATTTAATTATTCTATACCTATTTATGGTAAATGGCCTGTATTTGTATAGCGCTTTACTAGTCCCTAAGGCGCTTTACACATCCAGTCATCCACCCATTCACACACACTGGTGATGGCAAGCTACATTGTAGCCACAGCCACCCTGGGGCGCACTGACAGAGGCGAGGCTGCCGAACACTGGTGCCACCGGGCCCTCTGACCACCACCAGTAGGAAACGGGTCAAGTGTCTTGCCCAAGGACACAACAACCGATACTGTCCAAGCCGGGGCTCGAACCGGCAACCTAAATGCGGTTAAGGCTCGAGGTAAAAATTATGCTTTTATTCTGGTGAGTGGAAACCGGAAGTTTAGTGGGGAAATTCAGCCTGAAGTCGCCCCGCTTCTACCGTAACTACTGCAGGCCTTTTGTGTCGTCCCTGCTCGTCTTCTTTAGAAGTGCATTTTTCTTCCTGCTGCGACCATGGAGTCTGGCGATTCAGGTAAACCTTTACAGTGAGATTTACACCAAATACGTGCAAACTGCACTTTAAGGTCGATAATTTATCCGTTAAATCGCACAAGCTAATTTAGCTTGTTTGAACCAGTGTACAACGCCAGCTAAGTTAACTAGCTGTTGGGTTAGCTGGATCAGGTTTTAAATAAGATTAATACAGTTCAATAAATACACACTTTTAACTGCAGTCTTTAATAATCATATTTAAAGACACAACTGCCTCTTTAACCCAGTTCAGAGTTCGTCACATAGCTACTGAAAATTGTTTTGTTGCTCGAATGAGTGTTTTTTTTTTTTTAAAAAAGGCTAGCACTAGTCTTCGCCTGTTTATAAAATAAGTGTCAGATTTCCTGATATGCTAGTTGTTTCAGAGGGTGGCTCTGTCTTTTGTTAGAGGTTTAGATTTGTTGTCACATGCATTGTATTTTGTCATGTATTTGAGGTCGAGGAGGAGGAGGGTGGAAGTCCAGACCCATCCAACCACAGAAAAGCAAAATGAACATGACTATTCTCCGTCAAGAAAAACTGATAGCTCAGAAGAAAAAAGAGATCGAAGAAAGAATGGCAGAGCAAGCAAAAATGAATGTTCAAACCACTAGCAAGCCTCTGCCTGAAAGGTAATTATACACATCCTATCATGGCCCACATTCAGTTTGAATACCAACAATCTGATACTTGTACACGTGAATGTTTTCTGTGATGCCAGCAGTGACCTTAGACTTGAAAACATATTTTTAAAAATACCTTTTTACACTTTTATCCCTGTAGTTCTACCAGTGTCCAAGGGGCTTCCACAAATAAGTTCGCAAATGATGGGAGCTTCTTACAGCAGTTCATGAAGATGCAGAAGGAAAAGGCGCATGTGTCTGGTTAGTACCCAATTCTGCACAGCTTACTCAAAATATTGAATGATATTTAGCAGAGCTTTAGATGGGACAGTTTGCATTAGTATGCATAACCTAATTAATTAGAATCTAAATATAATAGAATTTAGTAGAAGGGTTTTCCTGAAGTGTCTCCCTTTCTTTCTAGGTTCCATCAATGATGCCAAGACCCCATCAACCCCAACTTTATCACCAGGAGGAAATGCGCTCCAGAAAAAGAGCATTTTCGTTGGCCAGCGACCTGGCCTTGGAGTCAGCAGCATGCTAAATCAGTTCAAGAGCTTCTCACAGTCCAAGAAGAATCCCATTCTCAGCCAGAGGCCAAGTGTCTTTTGCTCTCCAGATGGGGATGATGAGGAAGAAGAGGCCGATTACTCCAAATTCTTAGAGATGAAAGGTAATTCCTGGCCTGTGTTTTTCATTGTGTCAGGGGACACCTCCATGGCTTGGACATTTCAGTGCATCCTCTGCATACTCCAGTGGAACAGTTGCCTTGTGACTGGCATTTTGTCATTTGTGCCCTTTGAGTAAATGTACTCATAGCGTGCTTAAAGTCTCTCCCCCAGAGGATTCAGACACCAGACTCATTATCGACAAGATGGCTTCTTTTGTGGCCGAGGGGGGACCTGAGTTGGAGAAGAAGGCCAAGGAAGACTACAAGGACAATCCTGTTTTCTCGTAAGTTTGAAGGACATTGTCGCTTAACTTAGTAAGACTTATTTTACTCTGAAAGTTTTTTTCAGACATATCTGTTTTACAATTTTTGCCCTTGTCTTTTAGTTTTTTGTATGATAAGAGCAGCGTGGAATATCTCTACTACAAGAAAAAGATTGCAGAATGGAAAAAGGATTTGCAAAGACCAGAGAAACTCTCAGATAATGGTAAATGGCCTTTTTACTTCACACACTTCCTTTTCTGCTTCTTTTCTTTAATCTTTCCTCTCAAGAGTTACTGTTATTGCACAGGAATGAATGCCGATACCGCATTCTCAGATACACTTGCAATTTTCAGGTATTATAATCTGACTACTGAGATACTCAGAGCTCGATAGTGATGGCTAATATCGTGACTACAGAAGCCTGTAACTAATGTACTATTGCAACGGAGTTCATCATAACTTGATCTGTTTTGAAAACTGCATAGCAGAAGGCTCACATTTCTCAGTAGTGTTAGTGCAGCTTACCATCTACACCAATATTTTTTTATTTTAAATGTGTAACTTTTACTATGTCTACTCCTAGCATATCTAAAACTGAGATATTTAGAAAGCAGCTGAACCATTCATGTATTTTAAAGTTCTGATCTGGATCTGCACTTTTCAACACCCACTTTCTGCTTCTGATTGGGTCTTTTTCCAACTTCATGCCAACACATCACAGCTAGCCTTTGCTTTTAACTGTGCTTAATATGTTGCAGATTTTGCTTTCAGACTCTCAATCTGTTTTCTGCCACAATGACTGTGCTATACTGATTTATTTTTGGATAAGTCTTTAATAAATACAGTATTAGACTTTGACTTGAACGGTGTAATGAATGCAGATGTAAGTTTTAAATTATAGTCATACTGTATGTTGTTGGAGTCTCTCAGGGCTTCATTCTTCATTTGTTACAGTAAACGCCTCAAATCCATACAGTTCCCCATTCACCACCCCTGTCCCCCTTGCTCCTCCTTCCCTTTTCCTTTTCTTATCCCCTATTGGCTCTAGACTGGTGGTGTATGAGGGCCAGTTGAGTACGGTACAGTAGTAGAGTGTGAATTGACTCCCAGTACTAATAGGCTGCTTAAAGTCTCCCCCCCAGTGGACGCGGAAACCCAGCAGGTGGCTGAGAAGCTGGCCAAGTTTGTGGCGGAGGGTGGCCCAGAGGTGGAAGCCATCGCTGCTGAGCGCAACCGAGACAACCCAGCCTTCAGGTAAGTGGCCATATCTGTTCCTGTGTCCTGCATGTCTCACATTTTCTTTTTTGATAGTTCGTCTGAACTGTATGAATCTTTTGTCCTTCAGTTTTTTATATGATGAACAAAGTCCAGCCCACCGTTTCTACAAAGAGAAAGTAAAGGAGTATCGTGCTGCAAACTCTCAGAACTCTGCAGATTTAACAGGAGATTCCAGGACAGCTGTTAAGCCACCAGCTGCTTTTCCAGTACCAGAAATCTCTCCACAGCAGAGCCAACCATCTGCACTTCACTTTAAGGAGTCAGAAACCCCACCTGTGAAACGAAAGAGGAAGAGCAGATGGGGGTCTGAAGAAGACAAAGTCGACCTGCCTATTCCACTCATTGTTGTTCCTCATGAGAACAGTCTTCCAGACCCTAACGCACCATCACTTTCTGGTATTTACTTTACAAATGTGCAAGTACTGTTCATGTGTTTATTTGTAGGGGATGAATATTAATTTAACCCCAAACCTTTTTCTTGTGCAATTCTTTCATAAGACGGTATTATGTGTTTTGCAGCTGACAACAAATATTGTTAAATATTTTCCAACTTATGCATGCTAATGCTCATAGCCATATTTCATAAAGTCATCTGAACATTGAGCCCAGCAAGATAGTTTGACAATTAATGAGAAATTGAGATTGCTAGCATTATACATACTAATGGATATTCCCCGTTTTAGCCCAGGAGCTGAGAGGTCTGGGTTATAAAAAAGGGAAACCTCTTGGTCTGGTTGGAGTGACAGAATTATCTGAGGACCAGAAGAGACAATTGAAAGAACAACAAGAGGTATGGAAGTATTAAAAAAAGAATACATAGTGTTGTTGCTTTAGTCTTTTAAATTTATTTCAGATCATACAAGATTATAATTTCCTGGAAGTTCTTAACAACATATGTGTTGCTAACTGAGCAGGCGTTGTTTTTGGGGGTTTTTGCAGATGCAAGAGATGTATGACATGATCATGAAGCACAAGCGTGCAATGGCAGACATGCAAGTGATGTGGGAGAAGGCCATAAGAGAGCATCAGCACGAGTATGACAGCGATGAAGAGGTGGACCAGCAAGCGGGGACCTGGGAACATCGGCTCCGAAAGATGGAAATGGAGAAGACTCGCGGT